TTAGCAGTTAAGTAACTTATCTCAATCCGTTAGAGAAAATAGGTAACAGTTACCACTAATCTATGTCGTTCTGAAATAAGAATGATGTTAGTAAAACCATAATTACTCCGCCTGGAGACATACATTGGCTCGCCAGACTGAACATATCCCTCAATAATGAGAGGACTTAATTCAATCATCTTTACATTTGTTACTTCATGAAATTGATCAATTTTCTGTTCTTCCCCAGATACAATCCACTTTAAACATACACCGGTTATCACTTGGTGAACATTCCTACTCAAACTACAAATGTTATAGATTAAGTGTGTCACAAACCGACTAAGTGTATTTACAGCATCCACGTGACTTGAGGGTTTTCCAAAAATACAACCTTCAAAACATACCACAGTATCTGCTCCTATGACTACATAGTTACGCTTACATTAATACGAACATAAAAAAGTAAACAAACTTTACTGATATCCAAGGTATTCACCACTGCATCCACTTTAAGTTTAGCTATGGCTTCGATATGAGCTGGTATTGATTGAAAGTTTTCTGAAGGCAGTGACTCTTCAACATCAGGACAAACCGAGGAGAACTTTAGACCCTAAATATAATAATTAATTAGTCAAATAAATGAATTACAATGTTTCCAAGTATTTCTTTTCGACGTATTGAAGTGCTAGCTAGTATAATTTCTAGGGATTTCAAGTCTTCTTTAAGGGAGCAAAGCATGGCTAACAAAAAAATATTGAATATCCCTCTCTTTACATGATGATATTTCAATATAACAAGAAAACCAATCCAAAACTATACTATTTTTAAACTGACGTTAAACGCTACAAGGATAACCTTGGAGAATACGAATTGAGTCTTTCGCAAGTGTATCGTTCTGTTCAATGAAACTCAACTGTTGTGCTAGAACTTCTAAATGGAGTTTCACTGATGTATTTCAAGTTACTTTAGGTTTTAGAAAGTCACAAAAATAAGGGAAGTGGTAGACGGCAGCTATCTACCTATTCTTTAAACTGAGTATCCACATACCTTATCATAGTACAATGCAATCCTCCATCTCAATAGATTATAAGATGACTTACCGAGTTATTTGGTAGAAATCATTGTAATGGAGAACTACAGACCTTCAGCGACCTCATGTTTCATAAATACCACATCCTGAAGTGCAAAAACAACTGAATATCCCCTTTTAGTGTTCTCTGAGCCATAACTATCGTAGTTACTTTCCGTTCGCCCATGGTTTGTAGGCAAGTTTTTTATTGAGCAGGTTTTCTCCCGACACTTATATATTTCACTTGCTCCTTATTACCGAATATGCATTGACGGAAATCTTTATACTTTCCAACTCCTCACTTTGCCTCAGGCAGGCGTTCAGTAGCTTGCTTTATCTAGGGGATTCTTTCAACCGGACCATGTCTCGATAGACATTATTCTGAAGAGACCTGTGGACACTTGACTAAAGCTGCTACCCTAGCTTAGTGATTAGGTTTACAAACCTTCATGGTGTTAGTTGAATAAGTTGACTGGACAAAACTTTCCTTTAGGTCTTATATCAGACCGGTTATTTATAGATCGGTAACTCTAAAGTCAAATTTTTTCAGGCTTCAGTTTCAGATTTGTGTAGTGAGGATGGAAGGCCTACGGCCTATGTCAGTTTTTTTCTAGTAAGCTTCTGTGAGGGTCTAATCTTCTCTCGGATGAGTCAATTATAGGTGCGGACACCACTGCTTCGGGTAACAGGTTCCAGGAATTGATGACTTGGTGTGAAAACCTGTATGCCACGATAGTTTGTTCGTTCTTGGCTTTTCTCCTCGTCTGATATTATCTCTGGGATGTCTCAATCTAGTGGGAAGAAAGAGAGACGATATAACAAGACGAAAATCATTTCTTAGTATTCTGTACATCGAAATCAGGTCGCCTATTAATCTGTGGTAGAACGGAGTAGAGAAGTTTAGCCTTTACAAACCGCTTTTTGCATGGTAAACTGGGGAGTTCTGAAATTGCAAGGATGGATACACTCTGTATGATTCCCAGGATCCACTCCCCTTCGTAACTAGGTTGGAAATTGAATGCTGCGTCCTTGTTCTGTGGTTTCTGTACGAGAATAGTCTCTCAGGTTGCTTTTTACTACAGATTGGGCCAACTGCTTTTTATATTTTTGTGAGGTTCTCTGATTGAAATTGTACGCTTATTTCGTACCGACTTGTAGTGTTTCATCGAACTTGCTGTGTCAATACTGATGGCAACATTCCTAGTAAACGTCGAATATCTCGGCTTATCCAGGGATGGACGAACTTCTTCTTCTTCGGGACAGTCCAGAGTGTAAACTGTTCAATTACATAATTGTATAACTGCCAGAAATGTGTCCATGCGTCTTCTACGAATGAAAAAGTAAATTATCCAGTTTTTAGCCGAGGCTACGGAGTTGATTGCCTTCACGCCTGCCATTCATATGTTAGGACGGGCAGGCGCAACTGTTTGACTGGCAATCTCAGCCATGGACTTGGATAAGATAACTGCATGATCACTTCTTCCTAGAGGTAGGATGAAATTTATTTGACTGACATCATCACCGTGTGTGAAGACTTGATCCAAGAAAGATGAGGAGTTTTGTAATTCATAAAGTCTTTACCTCCTATTACATCAGGGCTTAAATTTGCTTAGGAGGAAGTCATCTATTGAATATTCTGGACTGCAATGTACTACGACAAACTCAATATCTTGCTATTTACATTTCAGCTTGCAGCGCACCAGTTTACATGACCCTGAATCGTGTGCCACCATCTAAACATCTCGTACGGTTAATGTGACTTTCGCATGCAAGATAACCCTACCACCCCTACGGTTTAATCTGTTAGTCATACTCGGTAAAAAGCCAGGCGATTATTATTATTATTCAAAAACATCTTATGGCTACACAAGTGTTGTGAAGAACCATTTCAAGTTTCTTCAAAAAATGCAATAAAACACACTTTTCAATAATGTCAGCAATATAATTGCTATTAAAAAAAAATTAGAGCAATAATAGTAGACAATTAATAATAATAAATCGGTTCTGTGCAATTAAGAAGAATAATGAATTGAGTTTAAAGAAGGAAATGGAGAAAATGAGGGAATAGAAATAAAGGAGACGTGAAATACGCAAACAGTTTAATAGGCGTGTTTATGAACACAGAACAAGAATGAACGACTATGTGTGTATCGTTAAATTAGTAACAAAAATAATTAGAAAAAAATAACTTTGTGCAGTCATAGTTTCGAGTGATGCGATGAAAGTTACAATCAAATGAAAAGGATAATAAAATATCAATATGTATGAGACATATATGCATTTGAGGATAAAACGGGTTTGAGGATTTTAGTGTAACGCGCGCGCTACGGATTGGACGTTACTTTCAGTCCGAGGTTTTGAGTTTTATTTTTCTAGGATTCTCGCAGAGCTGGATAAATTACTTTTTCTTAGAATTATGGAAGATAAATCCATTCTTAACTATTAACATATGAACTGTGAATTTCATGTCATATGATAAGTTCTGAGTTTAACTTACGCTATTTATGATCATATTCATACAAAATTCATAATCATATAATTATATATTTTCATTTTGACGATACGATCAAACTATACTCTGTCACTTTGAAACCATATATAATCATATTTGAAGAAGATTTGCATTCCATATCTGTATTCTATTTTTTAAGGAATATATGGTTATATCGTATTAACCCACGTACTTTATGTATCTACGTGATCTATTCAAACCTCTACCTAATATCAAGAAATATATATAACCGTGTATGTTGAAGGACTGTATTCACTATTTTATGAACTATCATTTAAATCGTATTTGGATACTATAAATTATTTCATTTCCGAAATTACCTGTCCAATTCGGTGAGTCTGTCATAGTTTGTTTTTTTTGACAGTGCTTTTTTCCCAAAAAGCTGTTTCATATATTTGTTCAAGAAGCAACATAATAATCTTAGACGGTAATAATCTTCTAAACTACTTATCTCTGCACCTCCCAATTTTTACTAATACGGACTTTCAGTTTATATATGTATCACGTACCGTACTTTTTTGATTGTTTGATACTAATTATCGACATTTCTAAATTACTTTACTATATAAGGCTATCTTTCGTGCCATATATGTTAAAATTTATACAACTTGCTCCTTTATATTCTATTTTGCCTCCACACAGTTACTGACATAAATACTTCATCTCCACTACTATCCTCCTGCCATTGTCATCTTTTTTTTGTTTTTGACACCACTAATCCTCACGATACATTCACTCTTAGTTAAAACATAGATTTTGATTTTTAGACTAACTTGAGCCCTCGGAATTGATTTTTTCACCCCTATTTCCAACATTCTGTTCAATCCACTTGCTATACGTCACTTTCTTATTATGCCACAAAAGAAAATAAAGACCCCTGCTCCTAGGCGTTCAGCCAAACGTAGGAAAACGACACAATTTAACACCACTACTGACACGATTTCCAACAGTTTCAACGAGACGAGCCACTCCGTTCATCCGGAAGCAGACAAGCTTTTACCAGTTGTCTCCATTCCAGACATGTTGAAAACTCTGATGGTAAACAGTGATGATAATCGCAACTGCAACCATATGGATGCTATAAAAAAGTTGCAAGTAGACATGAACATTCTCAATCCACTTAAATATCTCATCAACCCCAACCTCACAGAGACTCCAGATCAAATGAATGACATAAATATTTTCCTAGATCGTGTTGCATCAGAGGTATTTGAAAGAATAAGACGACCTAACAATGCAGTTGTGTTTAATATACCGGATACACATGCCCTTAAAAATATCAAATCTAGTCTGCTTAGAGCCAGCAATATGACACACGTACCATGTGAATGCACAAGATTAAAAAGAAGTCATCCTGGTATGCACTCACCGATCTTGTTCAAATTCAACTCATCTGTAAACCCCAGTGAATTTTTAAATTCCTCCAATTCATCGAGACAAAAACAGATTTTCAAGGATATTAAGACTCTTCCGGATAAAACACCATGCCAGCGAAAATCAGGAAGAAATAACTACAGAACATCAGCGTCAAACTCTCAAACGCATCGTTATCCTAATGGTTGTAAAGTTAAGTCCGATTCTAAGAGGACGTCTGGCTTAACAACTTTGCGGCCACCGAAAAACTATTCTGAATCTCATAAAGTTCAAAACACAGAAGAAAGTAATCCCGATGTAGGTGGTGTCCATCCTCTTAAAAATGTTGACTTAGATTCAACCCGAAGTAGTTGTGCCGATGAAGAATAGGATAACACAATCCAAACCGCTGTTAGTGCAACACCCAGTTACAGCAACTGTGCAACGGATAACAGGAAAACTAGTCATAACATTCATATAACTGACCACGCACTTAACGTTGATATATTCGAACCTCGCAAACCATCGCAAGTATGTTTAACACAGTACACAATCCTCTCCAACTTATGAAGAAGCCGAAATCAACCACAAACCTTGGAAATAAACGTCTTAAACACGTTACCCATACGTCAGGTATAAATAGTTATCCGAATTGTAATTGGCCACTTGGTCACAACCATAGACCTGATAGCCTTCTTGGTCCGGCTCCCAATATGTACAGTACGCCCTTATCAGATGCTATATCCAATAGCAATGAGAAAACCTTTTTTTGTAATTCCGCCGGCTTTCCTTCCGGCAACGGTAAACATATTTAACATGATGACAAAGTGGTTGAATCTATTTCCCCTCGCAACACGACTCTTAACTTAGCTAATCCTATGAGTATTCATGAAACTGCCAATTGCGATTTATACTCTAACCTGCTTCACTACGATGACTCTGAGTTTCTTATTCTTTCGTTCAATGCCCGCTCTCTGTCTAATAAAATTATTCATCTTAAAACTCTTTTATTCCTTGTAAATCCAACCATTGTACTTATTACGGAAACGTGGTGTAATTCATTTATATCCGATCATTCCTTGAATGTAGATAACTACGTTTTCTTTAGAACCGATATATGTTATGGAATAGGAGGCGGTACAATTATCTATGTCCGTTCAGACATTCAAGCGTGCAAATTTGAGGATAAATCCCTTGATGCTATAGACGACTCCACTTGGGTTACTGTAAACTGTGGATCCCAAAATTATTTACTGGTGGGATGCATATATAGACCACCTCATGCGGATACTAAGTTTGACAGATTACTAACAAACATATTTTCCATTGCTTCGCACCAACCGCATACTTTTAAAATCATCGGAGGTGATTTTAATCTGCCAAAAATTACATGGGGCTTGACTACGGTACCAGGTCGATATAACAAACTAGTTGAAACATTAGAAACTTGTGGATGGGTTCAACGGGTCCGAAAACCAACCAGGGGGAATAATACACTTGATTTAATGTTCACAATCAACATAGACTCTATTTCAGTGCATACCAGTCAGGAGTTTTTATGAGTGACCATAGAATTGTATTGAGTATTATTCACTTATTAAACGCCATACAATTGAACTCTAAAGCTTCAATGACGTACAAGAGCAGACATTTTGATAAACAAACATGGAAACGGACTGAAACTCTCATTCAATGTTTACCATGGGAAACTTATTTTACCACAAATAATGTTGACATTGCGCTTTCCAATCTATACCACAACCTGATATATTGTCTCGACTGCACTGCTCCAGTTATTGGCCGTGTGGCTTATAATGCTAATAGGGGCCAAAATACTTTTAAAAGAAAGCTGAGGAAATTAAAATACCGCTACTATGAGCAGAATGATGTGTATGCACTTCAGAGTATACTTAAATTAATCGACAGAAATGCTTCATCTAAACGTAAGTATTTCATGAATATAGAAAATAAGGCTTTACGTAGTAAACGCCCAGAATTATCAATACTTCGACTTTTTAAATCCCGTGTAAAGTCAAATTCCCTTGGCACGACAAAATTCTTCATAGTTAACGGAAGCATTGTTAACGACCCGAATACTATATGCGAACAATTCAGCAAGCACTTCTCGCAGTGCTACAAAACTGGGACTGAAAACTCCATCATTACATTTCCAATGCTGACATCCAGACATCTGTCGAAAATTGATTTTACACACTCCAACATCAAGCAGGCCATAGCTGCCCTGAAAAAGTCTTATGATGGTGGACCTGACGGGATACCTTCATCATTTGTGAAATATGGAAGTAGAGAATTTCCACTATTTTGTTTGAAACTTTTCAATCTATCTATGGAATATGGGACCTATCCATCTGTATGGAAAACATCCCTTATCACCCCTAGATTCAAAACAGGACCACGTAGTGATATTATTAACTATAGGCCAATTAATTTGACATCCGTGCTCTCAAGAACCATGGAAAAAATCATCTACAAACAGCTACTATCATTTTTACTTTCGGCTAGTCTGATCAGCCCATCCCAACACGGGTTTATGACTAAACGCTCATGTTTCACATCGCACCTGGAGTTTTTTGATCAAATTACCCAGAAAAGAGATGTTGGTCAGTCAGTGATAATTCTTTACTTTGATTGTAGTAAGGCTTTCGACAGTGTCTCACACAAACTTCTTCTTTTAAAACTCTCTTCATTTGGCATACAGAATCCCCTTTTATCTTGGCTCAAATCTTTTTTAGAACAACGTAGCCAAATCGTTCGCTTTGGATCTTGCTACTCTAAACCTGTGAATGTAACCAGTGGGGTTATACAAGGAAGTGTGGTTGGTCCATTACTCTTTCTCCTTTTTATCAATGATGTGTGTTCCCTCTTTCAGTATGGTAAGCCTTTCCTTTTTGCTGACGACCTGAAAGTAGTTCATTCATTCTCTTCTCCTACGAAAGAAAGCTATATTTCAGCGGTAATCCAAGAGGAAATAAACAAGTTGTACGAATGGACTATTTCGTGGAATATGCCACTTAATGTTGACAAAAGTGGATTTATTCACATTGGTCGCTGTCTTAACTTAAATCTGACTGTACACACACATACACTCAAACCTCTCAACACTGTTCGTGACCTGGGTTTAAGATATAGCAATAGTCTGAACTTTTCTGAACACATTATATCTCAAGTATCCAAAGCTAGAAAGCTCATCGGATTGATAATGATAAACTTCAATAATATCGAATCGAGATTGTTACTATACAGAAAATGTATCTTACCCATTCTTGAATATGGTATTTTAGTTTACAGTAATTGTAGACATAATGACCTGATTAGAATTGAAGGTGTTCAAAGAAAGTTCACCAAAGCTGTTCTGGGGTATTCCGATAACAAAGACTATTACCAAAGATGTCAACAACTCAACTTAGAACCTCTTTGGATCAGACGTATCAAATTAAATCTTGTCTTTATCTACCGGCTTACTAACGGTATTTCCTACCCTTCATACCTTATGATATCATCCCACAATCTACGCAATAAGGAGAATATTCTAGCGATTCCAAGAACCCACACAAACTTACGTCAGAATTTTTTCCTTATTCGCTACTCAACAATGTGGAACAGACTGCCAGTGAACCTCCGTTGCAGTGAAACTACAACCCAGTTCAAAAGTCTCCTTGACGATTTTCTTTCCGAAAGTGGATTATGTCACCTATTGAATATCAATGTATTCAATAATGATTTATACAAACAAGGTCCATCATCCATTTAATTGCTTGAAAAGCAAAATAAAACCTTTAAATCTTTCCACATCTATTTTATTTTATTTCTATTTATCTTAATATATGACATCTGCTTATGTTCGTGTTTATCATTATTACCGTTATTCATGTCATTATTAGTTCCCCGACACATTGTATTTAAAACAATAACTTGTAAGTCTTATTATTATTATTATTATTATTATTATTATTATTATTATTATTCACAAACATCTTATGGGTACATAAGTGTTGTATATCGTTGTGTATCGTTAAATTAGTAACAAAAAATAACTTATAATTGCAGTAAGATATGACGCTAGAATAAATGTTTGTGCAGTCACACAGCTTGGAGTGATGCGATGAAAGTCTCAATTGAGTGAAAAGGATAATAAAATATCAATATGTATGAGTAGTCCTATATGCATAGTGAAGATAAAACGAGTCTGACAAGTTAATTTAGGTGTAACACAAGTTATTGTCTTCATTACAAACTTCGTTATCTTAAAAATAAGATTTATTTAGAGGGAAAGTAGAGAGACAAGAGAAGTGAACACTTAGTGAAAAGTTTTGATCCATGATAAGAATAACAATTGTGTAATGAATATCAACCTCAGAAGGAAACCAGCAATTGAGAGAAATAAAATAAAAATCCTCCAAAGCACTCGGATGAGTACATTTAGATTTATGTAATAGTACACAGAGTGAAACCGGATATTAGTATAAACACTTGTGCAATAATAATTAAGATTGATGCTATGAAAGTCAAAATTGATTTTAAAGGATAATCTGGAGTTAAATATGTTTAGAAGGATAAGAAGATACAAAAAGAATATCTAATGTGTCGGGGAACTAATAATGACATGAATAACGGTAATAATGATACACACGAACATAAGCAGACATCATATATTAAGATAAATAGAAATAAAATAAAATAGATGTGGAAAGATTTAAAGGTTTTATTTTGCTTTTCAAGCAATTAAATGGATGATGGACCTTGTTTGTATAAATCATTATTGAATACATTGATATTCAATAGGTGACATAATCCACTTTCGGAAAGAAAATCGTCAAGGAGACTTTTGAACTGGGTTGTAGTTTCACTGCAACGGAGGTTCACTGGCAGTCTGTTCCACATTGTTGAGTAGCGAATAAGGAAAAAATTCTGACGTAAGTTTGTGTGGGTTCTTGGAATCGCTAGAATATTCTCCTTATTGCGTAGATTGTGGGATGATATCATAAGGTATGAAGGGTAGGAAATACCGTTAGTAAGCCGGTAGATAAAGACAAGATTTAATTTGATACGTCTGATCCAAAGAGGTTCTAAGTTGAGTTGTTGACATCTTTGGTAATAGTCTTTGTTATCGGAATACCCCAGAACAGCTTTGGTGAACTTTCTTTGAACACCTTCAATTCTAATCAGGTCATTATGTCTACAATTACTGTAAACTAAAATACCATATTCAAGAATGGGTAAGATACATTTTCTGTATAGTAACAATCTCGATTCGATATTATTGAAGTTTATCATTATCAATCCGATGAGCTTTCTAGCTTTGGATACTTGAGATATAATGTGTTCAGAAAAGTTCAGACTATTGCTATATCTTAAACCCAGGTCACGAACAGTGTTGAGAGGTTTGAGTGTATGTGTGTGTACAGTCAGATTTAAGTTAAGACAGCGACCAATGTGAATAAATCCACTTTTGTCAACATTAAGTGGCATATTCCACGAAATAGTCCATTCGTACAACTTGTTTATTTCCTCTTGGATTACCGCTGAAATATAGCTTTCTTTCGTAGGAGAAGAGAATGAATGAACTACTTTCAGGTCGTCAGCAAAAAGGAAAGGCTTACCATACTGAAAGAGGGAACACACATCATTGATAAAAAGGAGAAAGAGTAATGGACCAACCACACTTCCTTGTATAACCCCACTGGTTACATTCACAGGTTTAGAGTAGCAAGATCCAAAGCGAACGATTTGGCTACGTTGTTCTAAAAAAGATTTGAGCCAAGATAAAAGGGGATTCTGTATGCCAAATGAAGAGAGTTTTAAAAGAAGAAGTTTGTGTGAGACACTGTCGAAAGCCTTACTACAATCAAAGTAAAGAATTATCACTGACTGACCAACATCTCTTTTCTGGGTAATTTGATCAAAAAACTCCAGGTGCGATGTGAAACATGAGCGTTTAGTCATAAACCCGTGTTGGGATGGGCTGATCAGACTAGCCGAAAGTAAAAATGATAGTAGCTGTTTGTAGATGATTTTTTCCATGGTTCTTGAGAGCACGGATGTCAAATTAATTGGCCTATAGTTAATAATATCACTACGTGGTCCTGTTTTGAATCTAGGGGTGATAAGGGATGTTTTCCATACAGATGGATAGGTCCCATATTCCATAGATAGATTGAAAAGTTTCAAACAAAATAGTGGAAATTCTCTACTTCCATATTTCACAAATGATGAAGGTATCCCGTCAGGTCCACCATCATAAGACTTTTTCAGGGCAGCTATGGCCTGCTTGATGTTGGAGTGTGTAAAATCAATTTTCGACAGATGTCTGGATGTCAGCATTGGAAATGTAATGATGGAGTTTTCAGTCCCAGTTTTGTAGCACTGCGAGAAGTGCTTGCTGAATTGTTCGCATATAGTATTCGGGTCGTTAACAATGCTTCCGTTAACTATGAAGAATTTTGTCGTGCCAAGGGAATTTGACTTTACACGGGATTTAAAAAGTCGAAGTATTGATAATTCTGGGCGTTTACTACGTAAAGCCTTATTTTCTATATTCATGAAATACTTACGTTTAGATGAAGCATTTCTGTCGATTAATTTAAGTATACTCTGAAGTGCATACACATCATTCTGCTCATAGTAGCGGTATTTTAATTTCCTCAGCTTTCTTTTAAAAGTATTTTGGCCCCTATTAGCATTATAAGCCACACGGCCAATAACTGGAGCAGTGCAGTCGAGACAATATATCAGGTTGTGGTATAGATTGGAAAGCGCAATGTCAACATTATTTGTGGTAAAATAAGTTTCCCATGGTAAACATTGAATGAGAGTTTCAGTCCGTTTCCATGTTTGTTTATCAAAATGTCTGCTCTTGTACGTCATTGAAGCTTTAGAGTTCAATTGTATGGCGTTTAATAAGTGAATAATACTCAATACAATTCTATGGTCACTCATAAAAACTCCTGACTGGTATGCACTGAAATAGAGTCTATGTTGATTGTGAACATTAAATCAAGTGTATTATTCCCCCTGGTTGGTTTTCGGACCCGTTGAACCCATCCACAAGTTTCTAATGTTTCAACTAGTTTGTTATATCGACCTGGTACCGTAGTCAAGCCCCATGTAATTTTTGGCAGATTAAAATCACCTCCGATGATTTTAAAAGTATGCGGTTGGTGCGAAGCAATGGAAAATATGTTTGTTAGTAATCTGTCAAACTTAGTATCCGCATGAGGTGGTCTATATATGCATCCCACCAGTAAATAATTTTGGGATCCACAGTTTACAGTAACCCAAGTGGAGTCGTCTATAGCATCAAGGGATTTATCCTCAAATTTGCACGCTTGAATGTCTGAACGGACATAGATAATTGTACCGCCTCCTATTCCATAACATATATCGGTTCTAAAGAAAACGTAGTTATCTACATTCAAGGAATGATCGGATATAAATGAATTACACCACGTTTCCGTAATAAGTACAATGGTTGGATTTACAAGGAATAAAAGAGTTTTAAGATGAATAATTTTATTAGACAGAGAGCGGGCATTGAACGAAAGAATAAGAAACTCAGAGTCATCGTAGTGAAGCAGGTTAGAGTATAAATCGCAATTGGCAGTTTCATGAATACTCATAGGATTAGCTAAGTTAAGAGTCGTGTTGCGAGGGGAAATAGATTCAACCACTTTGTCATCATGTTAAATATGTTTACCGTTGCCGGAAGGAAAGCCGGCGGAATTACAAAAAAAGGTTTTCTCATTGCTATTGGATATAGCATCTGATAAGGGCGTACTGTACATATTGGGAGCCGGACCAAGAAGGCTATCAGGTCTATGGTTGTGACCAAGTGGCCAATTACAATTCGGATAACTATTTATACCTGACGTATGGGTAACGTGTTTAAGACGTTTATTTCCAAGGTTTGTGGTTGATTTCGGCTTCTTCATAAGTTGGAGAGGATTGTGTACTGTGTTAAACATACTTGCGATGGTTTGCGAGGTTCGAATATATCAACGTTAAGTGCGTGGTCAGTTATATGAATGTTATGACTAGTTTTCCTGTTATCCGTTGCACAGTTGCTGTAACTGGGTGTTGCACTAACAGCGGTTTGGATTGTGTTATCCTATTCTTCATCGGCACAACTACTTCGGGTTGAATCTAAGTCAACATTTTTAAGAGGATGGACACCACCTACATCGGGATTACTTTCTTCTGTGTTTTGAACTTTATGAGATTCAGAATAGTTTTTCGGTGGCCGCAAAGTTGTTAAGCCAGACGTCCTCTTAGAATCGGACTTAACTTTACAACCATTAGGATAACGATGCGTTTGAGAGTTTGACGCTGATGTTCTGTAGTTATTTCTTCCTGATTTTCGCTGGCATGGTGTTTTATCCGGAAGAGTCTTAATATCCTTGAAAATCTGTTTTTGTCTCAATGAATTGGAGGAATTTAAAAATTCACTGGGGTTTACAGATGAGTTGAATTTGAACAAGATCGGTGAGTGCATACCAGGATGACTTCTTTTTAATCTTGTGCATTCACATGGTACGTGTGTCATATTGCTGGCTCTAAGCAGACTAGATTTGATATTTTTAAGGGCATGTGTATCCGGTATATTAAACACAACTGCATTGTTAGGTCGTCTTATTCTTTCAAATACCTCTGATGCAACACGATCTAGGAAAATATTTATGTCATTCATTTGATCTGGAGTCTCTGTGAGGTTGGGGTTGATGAGATATTTAAGTGGATTGAGAATGTTCATGTCTACTTGCAACTTTTTTATAGCATCCATATGGTTGCAGTTGCGATTATCATCACTGTTTACCATCAGAGTTTTCAACATGTCTGGAATGGAGACAACTGGTAAAAGCTTGTCTGCTTC